AAAGATTTTCACAAATACACCCTCTTATTTCTGAACGTTTTCTAAATCACATTCAAGTATGGTATTATATTAACTTTATTAATAAATAAATTTGTTTAATTAAACAAAAAATTAAATTGCATTAGTTTGATACTATCAGCTCTTTTAAATGCTAAAAGAAACGTGAATTTATTAAAAATAAAATTTAGTCCTCAACAGTTGGTACTCAGCAAATGAACTTGAACCACTGGGTATGTGTAAATCAACTTGACTAAAATGTATGGCATGTTACATTAATATCTACAACAGTAATACGTAATAGCATATAGAATCTCTGTTTATCGTTATACAATAAATTTAAATATTCGATCATGAAAAACTATAGCTGATACTGTCTAATTGCATATATTTTCTAGAAATTTCTAAATGTACACATAGTGTATGGTACACTGGTATTATTGTAATTCGCAAATCCTGTAACATGCAAATCAAAACATTTTGAATAAACGAAAAGTTAATCATTATCTAAGGTTAGGGTAAGGGTGGGTGGGGAATAGTTTATATCAAAATTTCGCAAGGAATTTACTAAAAAGGTAGTTTCATAAGCGAAATTTTGAATTATAAACGATTTTTTAAAGAAAGCAATAATTTGACGTTATACCTGATAGTGTAATCTGATTGGCTTTCTATATACCCGTGTCTCAAATAGAAATTGCCTATTTTCTAAGTGCATAAAAATTTTTAGTTTTATAAATTACTAAAATAAAAACTAGCTCTAAAATAAAAAATAGTTTTTACAATCTAAATGCATATACTATCTAAATGAATTAAAAAAGTTCTTAACGGATGGTATGCAATTAGACAGTGTCGACTTTAGTTTAATTCAAAAATAGATTAGCAAAATAATATACTTGATCATTAAAAAATGAAACATCTTTATTTCTATCGATTATAATTTAAGCATACATATAATGAAAGTGGTCGCATAAAAATAATTATTTGATTTGAGTACTAATTTAATTAAAGTCAAAGGAAAAAATTTAATATGATTATTTCATTATTTATTTATACTAAAAAAAAAGATGTAATAATAATACTAGAAAATTTTTTCGTTTCTTCTAATCAATTTGTCAATTTTATTTAAAGTTCTAGAGTTAATTTTATTACCCTTAAGACCCAAGTATTTTAAAGTTTTGTTTTTATCAAGAGCCTTGGCTAATGTTTTTCCTGCTTTAGAGTCAAGCTGATTATTTGAAAGATCCAATGAAGATAATGCAGTATTTTTATAAAGCACATTTGCGAATGCCTCCCCTGCTT